GATCATGGAAGGAGGCAGTTATCTCTATCATCCCAAAAGAAGGAAAAGATAAAAAGGAATGCAGCTCATACAGACCAATATCAGTCTTGAATGTAGACTATAAATTATTTGCGTCAATCCTATCTAAGAGACTGGAACTCATTGTCCCAGAGCTGGTAAGTTTAGATCAAACAGGCTTTGTATTAAATAGACAGACACAGGATAATTTAAGGAGAACACTACAAGTGATGAGTCATATTACATCAGAAAACATCAGTGCAATGTTGCTCAGCCTAGACGCCGAAAAGGCATTTGACTCGGTGGGTTGGGAATACCAATACAGAGTACTTGCAAGATTCGGCTTCAAAGAATGCTTTATATTTAATAAAGATAGGATATTAGAGCGTTATACTTTTCTCCAACAGCCAGGATCAGGGTCAATGGACACCTGTCGCAAACTATTTATTTGGAAAGATGGACACGCCAGGGCTGTCCCCTAAGTCCGACCCTATACGCGTTATTTATTGAACCTTTGGCTCAAGCATTTAGAGAGGACTTTGAGATAAAGGGCATTATGATAAGAGGAGAAGAACATAAGACCTGTATGTTTGCAGATGATGTTCTGCTTTTTATTACAAAATTCATATTCTGGATATAAGCTACATACTCAAAAGACGCAAACCCTCACATTTAACTATACTCCCCACCCAGATACAAAAGGGAAATATAAATTCAAATGGGACTTGCCCAAATAAAATATTTAGGAATAAACCTTACTAAAGATATTTCAAAACTTTCTGAAAAAAACTATGGCCTCATTAATAAAGAGATCAAATTAGACATCTCTAGATGGACCCTCCTCCCACTAGATATGAGTAATAGAATAGAAATAATTAAAATGAACGTGTTGCCAAGGCTTCTTTATCTCTTCCAGTCATTGCCTCTAGAGGTACCCCAAAAACAATTTGATGAGTGGAATGCCTGGATCTCAAGGTTCGTTTGGAACAGTAGAAGACCTAGGGTTCAGTTCAAGACACTGCAGCTGAAAAAAGAGAAGGGAGGAAGAGCTTTACCATGCTTACAGGATTATTATATGCTGCGCAATTGAAACCCTTAGTATACTGGTGTGCTCCAAATTATGGATCCAAGTGGAAAAGCTTGGAAATTACTAAGATAAAAATTCAAATACAATCTATAATAGGAAATAAAAGCCAAGCTGTAAGACATTATAACAGCTTGAATCAATGGACTTCATTCACTCTTAAGCTATGGTTTAAGGTTTTGAGGAAGTTACAAATAGAGAAACAGGCCAGGGTCTTCAATTGGATAGCATACGATCCAGAATTTGAACCTGCTAGATTGGACGGGGGCTTTCAGAGTTTTCATGTTATTTCATGATGCATACCAAAAGATGCATACCAAAAAAAAAGACAATAAAAAGTTGGTCTCAGGAATATACGGAAGTATACAAGCCTCTAAAAATCATTCTACGTTATCCATTCAGAAACACAAATATCAGAAGAGATCTGGATGGAAATATGTGAGACACAAGCTCAAGATCACTGAGAGAGTTCGGCTGGAAGAATGTAGTGAGATTTTTTATAACTCCTAAAATATATCTACCAAGATAAATAAAATAATTGGAGTGGATTTAGATTTCTCTCTTGTTACTTTCGGTAAAATACCGGAAACAGTCCTACAGAAGGATAAATACTTACTGAAGATACTCTTGGCAAGTTGTAGGAAAGCTATAACTAGGAAATGGTTGCAACTAGACCCTCCAACATTGGACCAGTGGCGTGGGATCATTCAAGAAATCTACTGTATGGAGAGACTTACTTTTGTATTAAGGCTTCAGTTGGAGAAATGTACTGAATGCTGGGAAAATGGATTGTGTATGCACCTTGAATAATATGACATTATTATACCATGATGTATGTGTAAAAGAATACTTTGATTTTAACTGTAACACCCATGATGATCTCATGTTCTTTGTACATGTAAATGAATAAAAAAAAAAAAAAAGAACATTTAGAAAAATAATATTACGAATGTATGATGGTTAAAAATTATAAAGAATACACAACACAGAGAGAAAATTGTATAACAGTTCCTAACAATATCAGAACAATATTGCTATATTCATAGGAAATAATCATCTTAAAATTAATCAAATGGCTCGTTTTACACAAACTTCCTGCAGTTATTGTTTAAAGTATTTGTATTCATGGTTCAGTTTATTAGTTGTTTTTGGTTATTGTTTTGTATTGAATATAATATAAGATATCCATAAATTTTTAGTTGGGGGGTCAGTTTAACGATAAAAAGGAGCTCCCCTTAAGGAGAAAGGTTGGGAAACACTGAATAGAATATATAGAATATACTAGAATACAATATAATAAAATAGAACATATTAACAAAGGATAAAATACATTAGACAAGTGTGCCTAAAAGTTTAAAAGAGGTTTAGTGTGTCTGTAAAGAGACTGACCATTCATTTCTCTCATGGCTCTGACGTAGTCATTTGGATCCTTGAAGCTGACAAAGCCGTAGCCTTTGGTCTTTCCCGTCCGTTTGTCTCTCACCACCTGATGACGACAATCAATATGATTTCATTTGTGCACCACACATACACAGCTTTTATACCTACAGCAGTGTTTCATTTGTACACCATACACACAACTTTTATACCTACAGCATTGTCCACTGTGCATTAAAAGGGACATTATTAACACCTTTATGAATGTCAGTTTCTATTCAAAATGTAGAACATTGTTCAACATCGATTATGATCCTCAAATTAGGCATGACCCAGACATTATTGCCCCATTGTTGAATATATATCCTGTTTTTGAAGTATTGCATCTTGCTAAATGGTAAATGGACCTGT